TTCCCATGTTCTCCTCAAGTGCAACCGCTTCAGTTCATTCAAACAATCCAAAAAACATCATGATTTCACTTACCTGTATGAAAAAATGATGGTGGGACAATTTTTCTTAATAAGTACATATTTTTATCTTATTAAATATTTTGATACAAAATTACTATTTTTCCCTTCTTATGTAAATATTATGTATCAAAAGTGAGGACAAAATAGAAAAAAAGGTACAAAAAAATTAATATTTTGCCATCCTCATCTCAACATTGTGTATTCAAAAGCGAGGGGCTAAAGAAAAAGTGGGCAAAAAGGTTGACAAGGTGTGTTTTCTTAATAATATATATAATATAGAAGATTGTTTGGTTAAAAAAAAATTTAGAGAGAGTGTCAATTTTGATTAGTGCCATTGCACCGACTCAAAGTTTAACAACATAAGATGATTTATAATTGTAGTCTAAAAAAACAGTATCTCTAACATTGCCAAGAATATTTAACATCTAATTTGACAAGATCTATCAGTTAACAAAAAAAAAAAACATTTGCCGAAAATATAGGACATTGTACCTTCTGAAATTCACTAAATGGGAAGGAAATGTTTTGTTTTAACACTAACTACTATTTTGCCACTTAGTACTACAATCTAGTGGTATTCGTCTTCACTTGTAAGTGAGAGGTCTTAAGTTCGATTCTCACTAAAGACGAATTTGAACCACATTATTATTAGCCGAAGTTAAGCCCACCCCCTCTCCTTAATATCCTTTGTTCAAGAAAAAAAAAAACACTAACTACTGTTTTCCAAACTATTAATACAGAAAAGAGAAAACCGCTCCCTAGCAAAATTATGCATGCTCTGAGGTCAACTGTTAATACAGAAAAGTGAAAACCTCACTAGAAACTAGGGCTGGAAAAAAATCCCAAAAATCCCAAACCAAACCGAAAAAATCCCGATCCCAAACCAAAAAAATCCCAAACCAAAATTCCCGAAATTTTCGGTATGTAATCCCGAACCAAACTGAAATTTTCGGTATGGGATTCGGTATTCCATCTCCATTTTTTCGGTATTCCCATACCGAATTGAAATAAATATGATTAATCTTTTGTTTGTTTCTATATTCCAGTTGTCTCAACTAATGTGATTAATCTTTGGATATTAGTTTAAGTTCATCAGAAAAGTTTGATTATATATATCAGTATACATATATTATACTAGTACCTTAATATTGTGCAAGCATATTGTTAATTGATAAACTAGTACATTAATAAAACTAATTAATATAACTGATGTGGTGTAATTCACTATAGGGAGGTTAATAAAGGGTATACTGATAGTTATAATTGATGCACCTTAATATTTGATGTAGTTTAAGTTCTAACTAGTACTAATAGTTAGTGATATGAAAAGTTTGTATTTGAATTATTCATTATTTATTAGTTGTAAACAATTTAATTTCCTCTTTTATTTTCTTAGTATTTATTATCTATTAGATTATAATTCAATGTAAATGATTTGTGGTTTATTGTTTTAGACACGGCTAATTTGGGAGGTGAGGAGAATACAACACAATTTTGGCTCATAACTAATTTTTTTGATTTTGGGTTTGTTACTTTATTTATAAACCTTGGCTTGTAACTACTATTTTTACTTTTGAGTTTGTTACTTTATTTATTACTTTATAATATGTCAAATTTTAGCCCAAAAACATAATATGTCAAATTTTAGTCCAAAAGCCCAAAAGCATTTTGGGATTCCCGATTTGTCCCGAAATCCCGAAATTATTTCGGGATTCCCGAAAATTGGGATTCCCGAAAATTTGGTTTGGGATTGGGATTGAATTTGGGATTCCCAAAAATTTCGGTTTGGGAATCGGGACAATGGTTTCGGTATGGGATCCCATACCGAACCACCCCTACTAGAAACACAAGGGTTCAAACCTAACTTGGTGCCCAAGTCGTGTGCAGCTGGACTAGGGTTACTGGACTCTAAACTATTTTCGTGGCCCAAGTTGAAAGGTAGTTTACCTTGTGGTTGCTTGGTCAAAGGGCTGTGTCCCAGTTAGTAGTGGACTTGAGTTGAATACTTGAACTCTTTTGAAGGATAACTTAATGGGCTTGTAATTTTTTATGATGATTATCCATGAATTCCCTAAAACAAAATATGATAGGATAAGTACAAGGGTTATAATGATGTGATGTGACTAGGTTGACAATGATAATAATGGAAGAAGCACCCCTAAAAATGAAACAAAAGTCTTTTTCATAAACTCTCTCATTTCACAATTTAATATCAATTTTTATATTCATATTATAAATAATTTTACTGAAATACCTAAGGTAATAAAGAATTCAACGAGAGCCCCATTTTTCGAGAAATTCTACTTCGCATTTCTCTACCTAAAAATTAGGTGGCCTTCTACGCACTTCTTTTCCACACACCAGTCATCACTGATCAATTTAGTGGGTTAACCACAATTTTCTCAAAACCCAACAAGATTTTAACAGTTCAAATCCAACTGTTCAAATATCAGTGCATCTCATACGTTGGCATACCTTACAGAACAATCCGAAGTTATGAACTTCAAAGAATACAGAACAAAGTACAGTTGCCATTCATCCATCAACGAGCAATCAAATTTACGCCAACGTTGTTAAAATAACTCCAAATATTTACACAAAATCAGATTTCCGTAAAGAACATTAGAAAAAGCAAAAGAAAATTAACCAAGAAAAAAAGAAGCCTTGTTCTTGAATGGTTTAAGCAGCAGGGGCTCCAACCAGAGGTGGAGGAGGATGATGCGGGTAGGAAGAAGCAAAGGGAAGATTCCTGAGGATCAGAAACCGAACCCTCCTCGGAAAAGGCGCGGAATGAAACAAATGCTCCAAAACCCTCGCCAGCAACACCGTGTACTCCTCCATCAGCTCCGCCAGCACTGCCACCATAATCATCTTTTTGGAATTTTCTCGCTTACCCAATTAATAACTCCAAAAACCCAATAACTATAGCATCAAAGACAAATCAAAGACACAAGCTTTTGACAGTAGAAATTCCTCACCTTATCCCTTCTCTTTCTCTCTCTAGATTTTAGGGTTTTGTATATTTATAGAAATACATAACCACGTGAAAGCAGGTGGTGGGAAGTGGACTTATGTGGAAGGAAATGTGATCTCATATGGTTCGGTTTTGGGGTTTTGGGATTTAGCATTAACAACGGCGCCCCTCACGGTCCCCCCACTATATTGAGAGATTTTTCATTAAGATGGAATTATAAATAGTACATTACCTATTTTTATATAAATAGTAGGAAATTTTATTTTTTAAATTATTAACTTTTTAATACATATATCTCATTATTTATATAATGACACGTAATGTACTATCTTATATTCTGATCATATTGAAAAATCTATCCATATCCAAAGAACCTTCTAGTTTTCTCAGTGTGCTTGGCTGCCACGTGGACGTTGACACGAGGTGACTCGTTGGAGGTTCAGGGTTCGGATTTATCTGGACTATTTTTTAACCCAATTTTTAAAGAAAAAGGACGAAAGAAGAGAACAAAACATGGAGGTCACTCACTGGTCCTTGCCTTTTCTCATTCTTTATCCTTTGTTAGAGTAACTCCACCGAAAGCTATAGGCCGATGGACAGGCAACCCCAAAAACCCAATAGCCATCTTCCCCTTCTTCCAGCCCATGCGGGTGATAGGGCTCGGGGAAGGCTCGGTGGACAGGTTAGGCGGGGATCCACAGCCCGAGAGCTTGAAGGCTAGCTGATGCAAAGCTGACGTCATGGTGACATCAACCACGTTATAAAATTAATAAAATATATAAAATATTATTAAAAAAAAAAGTAAAAAATTAATAAAAATGTAAAAAATTAATAAAAAATCAGAAAAAAAATTAAAAATTAAAAAAAAAATTGATTTAATTTTTCTATAAATGTATTATCATTATCTTTCAACTTACACCACAATTTTATATTTTCTCAAATACTTTGGGTTGTAATTTCTTATTTAATGATACGTGGTACAATGAGACCGATTAAAAATCTTATCCGAAATTACAAATATAATTATTTTTTATTATTTTATAAAATAAAAAATACTAATATATTATTGCCTATTGCCATGACTATTCAATTTAGAAGTGGAGATGCAAAAGGCAGTTACTGTTCACTGGGGGGATTTAATAGTAAGTTGCCTTAAGGGGCCTTTGATACGCTAGAGTTGCTCTTACGTGTCCTCCTTGCCACGCCCTGCAATTTGCACACATGAATTCACTGTTATATTGTGCAAAGTTAATAATATAATGTTATGCAGATAGAATTTTATATCATTATATTACTAAACAAAAGGTCACAATAACTGAATGTTATGTCATTTACAGACATTGCTTTAATAAGTCACTTACATGGCACCTGTAAGCAATTATGAACTAATGTACGTTGAGACTAAGGTGGTATTAGAATCAATTGAAAGTTGAGAAATAAATGTGAATGTTCTTCAGGAACATTTGAATGTTTGTTACAAATTTCTTTTGTGTCGATTAAGTGATTGATTAGTCTACTATGTATATTTAGGCATCACTTGACAAAGGCTCTTGACATAACTTATCAAAGTGCTTCGGCAAATGTTGCTAATTGATAATATGTACGTAATATAGTTTGACTGACAACAAAAAGCTCATGTAGACGATTGTCCCAAGCACTTTACCGTGTTTGTGAAGTAAGTAACGAACAACACCGTACATCTTCACTAATATAAGTTAGGTCACAGCTTGGCACGTTTCTCGGAAACGAATAGTATTTTCTACTTTATGTAAATCACAATTAGACATGTGCAAACATAACATATTAAAAACATGAAAAAATTTCTGCCACTGTCAAACTGATATTGGCGGGTAAGTAGGAGCGGCTACTTGCAAGAGGAGGACCCTAATTTTCCCATACGTTATGTTCCCATTGAAAACAAAGACAACTAAACTCTAGAAAAACAGAGTTGTACGGAAACACAGACTAAATCAAACTACAAACTGTCATTATTTATCTCATCTAAGGTTACATCCGCACGCTCATATGAGAACGCAATTTACAAGCCTAAAACCCGTTTCAACTGAAACACATCGTGGAATGAAGCGCCTATGCCTATCATCTATGGCTTCCACCGTGCAACGTCAAGATCTAAATGTCATCCAAATCCCACTAAATGCTATGACCAGGGTTACGGCTAAAGGAATACCAACCAAAATAACAAACGTAGGACTCAGGCCGTGGTGTTTGGGCAGTTCCTTCGAAGACACTGACAGCCCCATATGGCTGCTGGGTGATGCACCGTCCCTTCCCGTCCTTAACCTCAACTTTCTTGGGGCTTCTTCAGCAGCCCTCTTCTCATCAACCAGTTCTGTTGGTGAGCCATCGCTAATTTTCCTGCCCATGTCTGACTTCAAAAGACGGGACTCTGCTTCCTGCTCATCGAAATTAGAAATCTTCTTCGTGGCTTCTTTGACCTGTAAGGAGACAATATTGCTCGTTTAGAATTTTATGGGAACACAAAACAGATGTATATACAATGCTTATGTTGGCTTCGTTAATCATCCTTACCTCATAAATAGTTGACTGCACATTATCTTCTTCAGCAGGGGTTGTAGCTCTCACATTGCTATCAACAACTGACCGAGGTGAAGTACTCATCTGCAAACGGATTCTTCTAGAACCAGGGGCCTGAGTTGCAGAATCACCTGAACTTAATGGTTGTTGAGGCTTGGGGGCCTTCATCTTGATTCCGGATCTACCTACAACATTGGAATCATAGTTGACGGAATTCTTCATAGTGGCCAAGTCTTCCTTATCGTTGATTTCCGCATGCTCTTTCTCATGTTCATCAGAGGTCAGACTCTGCTGTATAGCTTCTCTAGCCTGTATGGAACAAATAGAGTTAAGTTTGAAAATGCATAAGAAGCAACAACAGAGATATTAAGGTAGTGTCCCAAGGACCCTTACCTCAGTATTAGCAGATTCTACTTCATCTTCTCCTCCGTAATCTATCTCTCTCACGTTACTATTTGCAATGGGCCCAGATGAAAAATTCATCTGCAAACGGATTCTTCTATGAGCAGTGTCCTGAGTTACAGAACTGTCTGAATTTGGTTGTTGTTGAGGCTGGTGAGGCCTAATCTTGATTCTACTTCTACCATCAGGATCAAAGCCATGGTTAATAGAATTATTCGTACTGGACCATTCTTCTTTGTTGCTGAATATCGCATGCTCTTCCTCCTGTTCATCTGAAGTAGGACTCTGCTGTATATCCTCTCTAGTCTGCATGAAACAGTCGGTGTAAAATTAGATAAATGCATTCGACAAGAATTATTAAGTTAGCTTCACAAGGACACCCTTACCTCTGTAATAATTGATTGGACTTCATCTTCTTCCCTGCTGTAGTTTTCATCGCTCTCATTGCCATTGGTAATTGACCCAACTGAACGGTCAACTAATAAATGAAGTCTTCTTGCAGCAGAGCCCTGATCTACAAAGTTATCTATATTTGGTTGTAGTTGAGGATGTCGATCCCTAATCTTGATTCCAGTTCCACCAACATCATCACCACTGTGGTTATCAAGATTCTTCCAACTGGTAGATCCATCCAAACTATTGGACACATCATTGACTGAAATCACAGGAAACTGCTCAGCAAATGAGCATTGAGATAAATAAATGTCTGTCATATTTCCCATTCTAGGTTTTCGGTCATCAAATGATGCTTGAGCTTTAGCTTGCCAATAACCAAATGAGGTGTTCTGCAGAACCTCGGAGCCAAATTGCTCATTGTACAAGCCAGATGCTCTCCTTTGCAAATCATTCTGGTGCACAAGGACAAAGCAAAAGGTTACAGTTAGACCTCATTTCTAAATATACTACGAATTATTTTCAAAAGATTAATTCTAGAATTTCAATTTCATGAAGTACACTAAGCATGCTAGACAGGAAAACAACCAAGAAGTACCAAAATTGGGGTTACAAGAAGCAAGAAATTATTTATTTTACCCATACCTGGGCGATTTTGGCGTCTGTGTTACCCCATACACCATTGAAACATGAGTTTCCTGGTGGCGTGGTGCATGCATGACCAGATAGATAAGTCTCATTTCCAACGACCAAGTTCTTCTGACTAGTTGACTCCTCATAGGAGCTCTCATAATGGCTATTGCTGAACTCATCAAATAACTCCTTGAGGGATACATCCCGTTCACATGTGCCGTCCTGAAAATGCAATACATTATCATAATTGCCAAAGTCACTGGTAAAAGGTGAACCCACATAATGTTCCAGCTCTGCATTAATCTGCGAATGCGACAGCGAGAAGACTTTGCAATCAACCGGGCCGCCCAAAGACTCATAGAACGCCGGATTTTCTTCCATTGTCAGATGGCCCTACAGTTGAGAACCATGTTTCGTCACTAGTTGTTAATATTTGTAAACTTTTGTATAAATTTAGGAGTACAATACTGAACGTGACAAAAACAAAACATATCATGGACATCTTACCTGGATTCCTGTTTCTACTGCTCCATGATCTTCCATATCAGAGGCCATAAAACTGTTAACAGGTAGCTGACAAAAAGCATCAGGGGTCACTTTGTCAGACTTATCAGTCAACCACCTCATGATACCTTCCGACTGCTTTTCACCTTGCATCTCTGATGTAGCTGTTTCCTGAACTATATCTGAGGACTCATCAGGAGAAGACTTAGTTGTGGTAGGAGATAGACCAGTTTGTTCAACTTCGTCATACTTTGGTTCATCAGCCTTCTCTTCTGGTTTATGGAACAAGCGACAGAGAACAAAGGCACCCTGTATCAGAGAGTCATTTAAACATTATTCAGAACAAGTACGGATTTATTTACCAGTTCCAGGACAGGTAAGTTTCAAAATGTGCATCATCTCGAAGTATATATATGAGAAGGGGTGAATACGGCAAAGCATTAAGCTGAGGGAGTACCTGGCCGGGAGCAGTGCCATCGAGTTCCTTCTGAGTGGCACGATACTCGTGCATGATCCAGCTGGTACGCTCGCCCTTGGGGGCACGGCCTCTGTGGAAAACCAAGGTCTTCTTCATCCCAACTTGGCCATTGCTGTTAGTGGCAAACTTGCACTGGCGGGACTTGATGGTCCGGTCCTTCCCCGTAGCCTTCCAGTATCCAGCATCAGTTGCTCTATTGGACCGATGGCCATTTGGGTACTTCCTATCGCGGGGGCAGAAGAAGAACCACTCTTGATCATCTGACTTTATCACCGATAGTTCTGCGCAAGCACAACGCAATTGACATTATGGACAGCTACAGGCTACAAGCTTCAAGCTTCAAGCTTTACTACTATATTCGAGTTGGGTAATCCAAATTTCGTAATATTGTTTAAAATTACCATTCATAGCTCAGCTCAGGCAGATTAAATATGCACTACTTACAGCTAAAAGCTTCAACCTTACAACAATATCCGAGGTGGGTAATTAAAAGATTGAATTATTATTTATAATTATCACAATTACAGTGGAATTACGCAAGGAATCCACATAAAAATAAGGAGGATTTATTCATTGGTGATGTATGGAATAAAGGAAAAATTCTCAATCCAGCCAACCAAATATTCTTATTCAGAAATAAACAAACAACGACTATAAATTCAAACCCCAAAATGGAGAGAGGGGAAGAGAGAGAGGGAGACAGAGGGAGACAGAAAAAAAAAACAATTACTTGGCAAATCCCAGGGCTCCCATCTGCAGACATCGATTTCCGGGATGACTTGGACCTCGGAATCACGGCCGTTGATCTTCAGCCGGAGGAAGTGGTTGATGAGCTCCTCGTCCGTCGGCCTGAACCGAAACCCCAACGGCAGCGATTCCGTCGACAGCTCCGCCATATATCTCCTATCACTGATCTTCCTCAACTTTCCCAACTTTTCAAAACCCTAGCTCGCAGAAAAATTAAATTACTCCCGAACCCTGCTGTTTGTTTAGAGTAAAGTCGAATAAATTATGTTCGGAAATTTTGTGCTTTCTCCTCTGTCACTCGCTTTTATGTCGATTTACTAAGCTCCGGATTCGTGGACTGAGTTTACCACGCGCCTCCGGGTTCTGACTGAGAGCGGTTTGTACGTGCATGCGTCGTAGAGGATCTTTGTTGTTTGACCCCGCTGCTTAAGTGGCAGAGAAAGGAGGCGCCATGTGTCGGCTCGTCCCTTGCTATTCATATTATACTTTTGTATCATATTTTTATACTACATTACGTGGCATTTGATGTGGATAGCCACATCATTTAAATTAATCATATTTTTAAATTTAGTTCATTATTTAATAAACTAATAATTAAGAAAAATTAGTTAATTAAATGATAATTGTGATATACATGGAGTCTTCCTCCTTCATTTCCTTGGGTTTTGCAAATTTTTTAAATGATATGGTTGTCCACATCAGATGCCATCTAAGGTGGTATAGAAATATGGTATAAAAACGTGTTATGAATAGCATTACTCTACGAATTATTCCGTACTGTTTTTTTACTTTTGACTTTTGAGTTTTTACCCTTTTTTATTCTGCAGTAAAAATTGTACCTAAAATAGTAATATTTTTGAAATCAATTGTAAGTGAAAATGCAAATTAATCTTCAAAAAGCACTTAAAGTGCTTCCTTCAAGAATCACATAATTGATGTTTCTTGAAAGAAGCACTTTAAGTACTTTTAGAACCTAAAATTGCTTTTAGTTATCAAAAAGTACTTTCTAAACGAGTCCTTATGTAAACTGATTACTTTGGCGTTGTACTATGAACATGTTTTGTGTACTTAAAAGCAAACTAAAATAAGTACTTGAAGTGATCACCAAAAAAAGCAAGCAAGAATGGCAAGTAAGACATGTCACATGGCTTCCTTCTCCATTTTGTCTTACAGGCTAGAGTTTTTAAAATTGTTCCGAGAAGTCAAATTATTACCATTTGAATTAGGGCTGGTTTGATATTGCTGTACTTTAAAAAAAAAACTGTTTTTGCTACAAGAAAAAAAGCTGTGAAATAAAGTAGTCTGTGTTTGGTAAATTTTTTTGTAAAAGTGTTTTTAGCAAATAAAGCAATGTTAAAGTGTTTGGTAAATTTTTATGTAAAACCGCTGCGACTGTGTAAAATGATTAAAAACAGATATGATGTTGAATATTATATAATAATTTTTTTATCTTTTCTTTTATTATGACATTTATAAGATTTATATAAACTATTTATAAACAGTTGTGAGCTTCGAAGAATGTACTTTTACCTTTTTTTATGAAGATATTTATAATTTTTTTAGGGAATTGTTATTAGCACTCCAAAAATCTCATTCCATACTCCAAAGTTTCTATATTAGGAAACAAAAAAATACTTGTTAAGAGCGTAAAATGAGATTTTTGAAGTGCAATAACATTTCGCTTTTTTTCTTCTATTCTTTTCTCTAAGAGTCGTTTCTTCTTTACCTTTTTCCTATTTTATTTTTGCAGAACCTTTGTATATTCTATCTTCCGTCGCTAACTCCCTCTCTCCCCCTTCTCTCTCTGTCACTCCTTGCCTGATCCTAAGGAAGGCTAGGTCATGGGGAAGGGAAGGTTGGGTTGCATCAACCAATTCATGGAAGATGGATGAACTTCGATTTCAGGACTCACCGTCGGTGTTAGCGACGAAGGCGTCGAGGCTTTCCCCGTTGAGATTTTGGGTGTCAAGCAAAAGGGTACAAATCTAGCGTTCTTTGTGCAACCCAAATTTTGACAAAGCCCAGAAATCCGACGAAAATGCCCTGAATTTCGACAAAACCCAGAAATTCGGTGAACCTCTCGCCATTCTTGTCCCAGAAATTCGAAAAAGCTCAAAGTCAGAGAGGATGGAAGAGAGACGCGGTAGGGTCGGCGACGAAGTCAATGGGTATAATGTATAATTTATTTAATTGCTAAAGGTCATTTTGGGTATTGGAAATTTCATTAATTGCCTCAGCACCTCTTGCGAAATCGGTTTGCGCAAAAGTTGGGCAAGCAAAAAAAGTTGATTTTTCAAAGCTGGGTTTTGCAGTTTTGTGTTTTTGGCTTTTTTCACCCAAAACTGTGAAGAAAAAAAAAATTGAAGTTGAATGTTTACCAAACATAAAAAAGCTCCCTATCCATTTTTTTTTTTTTCAGAAGCATCTTAGTATCAAACTAGGGCTTAGATGTCATAGATTATTGTTACTAGCACTACAATATGGTATCATTCTTCTTCGTTTGTAATCAAAAGGTCTCAAGTTTGGCTCTCATGAATGACAAGTTCGATAACTAATTATGAATAATTATTGTGTAGCTTGTGGTATTCCCACCGTAAATATCATTGTTTAAAAATAAAACTCCCAGAGATTATTTTTCCATCTTACATAAGTGTGAACGTTTTTCCCCTTGGGCCTGAGCGGGAGAACCATCTTATGAACTCTAGTACATCATTCTTATAGCATTACAAGCTAAAATAGGCCAAACGTAGACGAAAAATACTTCCTTTCTAGGAGCTATTCTGTCAATTAACTGACTGTTACAATCAATTTCCGTTATATTAGCCTATATAAATTATTGATAGAAAAAACAGACTTCGGTTTGCCAATTATTTTACCGCAGTCTTCGGTAAAAAATAAAAATAAAAAAGATGTGCTATTCATACACCTCATTTTACTTTTTACATACTTCTTGATAATTTCTATCCGTTGATATTCTTCAATTCATCCGATTCGACGACTGAAAATTAAAAAGATGTGTGAGAAATAAAATGAGGTGGGTGAATATCACATCCCAAAATAAAATTACGAACTCTAACGCCAACGCTTGCGACATTTGCAGAAAAGCCCGAAAAAAAAATCCTGGTCCCAAATAAAAATGCAGGCACTTGTTACCGCCTTTAATGAAAAGCTATATTCTCCGCACTGCGCCACATAATTATACCTTATGTGTTAGTAGGGTTTGTACAAATTTTTTTTTATTCTGATCAGAATACGAATGATACATTACGTGTTTTTATAAAAGTAATGGAAATTTTTATTTTTTAAGTTATTAATTTTTTAACACGTATATCTCACTATTTGTATAATGACACATGGTATATCACACCGTGTATCAGTTACATTGAAAAATCTCTCGGGTTTGTACGACAAAAGTAAAGAATCGTTTGAACCCCAACGATATTCCCACGGCTTCCCACGTCCTGGGTCGGCCAATACTCTTTCACCCCATTAAGTAAACACACATTAGTAGTTGACGATTGTGAGTTGTCGATATAATCATTCGTGATTCTAAACCATTGATGTATTGAAGAATTCACATACATTATCAGCTCACAATCATCCAAAAACGTGCAACAAATGATGGCATATCTCTAATGAAAACTTCAATTGAAGTTAGATAGAATCATGATAGACAGTCGTCTTCCCATTCAAATGATGGGAGCCGTTGAAGTATGTTTTATAAGATTCACATGCATTAGCGGCTCACATTCATCAACTGAGTCTTTTAACACTTCTCCATTTTAAGATAATGTGAATGTGCAATTCTATACAACGTGCTCAAATAATAAAATAACAACTTAATAAAATAAAATAAAATAAAGAAAGAAAAAAAAAAAAAAAAGACAAGTAATAAAATAGTAAATGGTACATTTGGTTGAGGTAAACAGCAAGGGTGTCCTATAAAAACAAGACAAAGTGAACGTATACACTCCTCCATCCGCGCAATAAAGTAAATTTCTACTTGTACATTATCTTGTTATTTGCAACTTTTACCTACAAAGCAGGATGGTAACTAAGAGGCACATTTGTGTGACTTGCGTCGACCCTCTGCACAGCTCTCCGCAAACTCCACTCGTGTAAGAATTCCAGGGCAAGTCTCAGCGCAGTTCCGAGTCCAAGAACCACGATAATACCTATACAATAACAACAAGCATATAGTAATTTCTCAAATAAATGAGATTTTTTACATATCAATAGGCACAAAAGTACTTATAATAATGTTAGAAGGCAGCGCAGATACACCGAGGGTGACGGACATTAGCACGTCCAACATCAGACCACCTATAAGGATTGAAAACGCCACATAAAGTGGGCTAACACAACCCTGCAACAAAGATCGGTGCATTTGAAATCACAGCATCAACAACGTTATTATTCATCGAGGTTACTAATATTCTAGTAGATTGATTAGTGTCTTCCTACCCTGTCGCGATTTTGTGATCGGTAGGATGAGTCAACTCTCCAAACCCAGTAGCTTGCCTGCTAATGCCAATACACTGATAGTTAAATTTTGACAGGCTAAGGAGAGAGATGCTACTATCTCAACACACGGTAATGGCAATCCCATTAGTCTATGCTCAGATATAATAATTCTCAATACAAAACAACAATCCTATTCTATGCCTGAGACAATTCGGCCTGGGAAACACTACGAAATTCAAAGTTCAAATCCGAGGACAGACTAAGCTACACACCAAGTTAGAAAAGAAAAAAGATGGAAAACAAGTCCGGTATCAAACATAAAAGCCGATCGGCTATCTAAAGTTCTTAGTCTCTATAGTTTACTATTCTTTGAAGTTATGGATTATGACTTTTGGCTGGTAGAATATTGCATTGGGTATGCCAATTCCGCGCACGCGTATATTAAGTTATGGCTTAATTAACATAAGGCTATCCTTTACATCCAAAGGTTCAGAGTACATACAGTTGGCTGAGTCTCTGGAGGTGGCACATTTGCTGCTACCCCTCTGCATAAACAGATTAGATCTTTCTATGAAATCTGGCTTTGAAAGTGAGCTAATTTATAAATCACGAACAGAATTATTGAGTAAATTACTGGAATATCTCCCATTTGTTCCTCTGGTGCGAAACCAAGTGTCTGTACATGATCTGTGGGATTTCGCAAGCCTGCCTCGACATTGGCATCCGAGATCAATCAAAACTTGATCTTTCTCCTGCTGACATACTCTGAGGAACAAGCACAACAAACCCAGTACAAAGAATTTCATTTACAACCCAGAATAGTATAAAATTCGAATAAAAAATCTAGCGACTTTTCGATACTTGCCTGCATTGTTCATGAGAGCTTGAAGTCCTTGACAAGTGGTCCTTTTTCGGAGAAGGAACCTCCTCCGAAAAATTGACCGCGGCGGTGGCTGTCGGCGGTTCATGAACTTCAGAGAACGCCCCACCCGAAACGACGACCTGTTCTAGGGGCGGAACGACATCCACAGTTGTCAAATTGGGAAGTAAGCTAGTCTCATCTCCGCCGCCACCACCGCCACCAAGCCGCTGCTTCTCCAGGTCAGGTAACTCACCATTTTCACTCTCTTTCTCACTCCCCATTACTTCTGTGTTCCTGAATCTTACTCAGAACCTAGAAAATCCCAATTGCATCCAGTTTCCGATTTCCAAACAAGTCACATCACAAATTTATGTGGAAAAATTAAAAAAAAAAAGTAACAAATTAAATGAAAAGCAAAGTGATAATCAAGGTTTTGAAAGGAGAGTGGATTGTTTACCTTTGGCTTCGAACTTCAAAGTAAAAAACGTTACACGGTCTGTGGCTTCGGCTTAACCAGAAGAAGAGGAGGAGGAGTAAGACGTTGAAGCGGGGGAGGAGAACGTGAATAATAGGGGCTTTTAGAAGTTTGGTACAACTCTTGTGGTTCAGCAGCACAACGTCTTTAAGGAAAGACTTACGTGGGCAGGAATAACCTTGGCCATTTTAAACTTTATCGTTTTTTTTTTTCTTTTTCTTGTTCTTCTTTCGGTATGGGCCTAGCTAAAATTAAAAGGAAGGGACGGATACAAGTGTTGTAGGCTTATTTAATTGAACTATTTTAAAGAAATAGAAAGGGAGAGGTCGGCGGCAATAAGAGAGATTTAATTGTGAGGTCTGTGTTATATCATCTCATTATGCTTTTATTTATAGTAGTATGATAGGTTAAATCCTTACCACTTTAGGATTACAATTCTAATAGGATATTAACTACTAAAGGGAATATTCAAAGATATCCCTAGACACACTAGGATTTACACAATCACATCTCTATTCTAAATATGATTGCAACACTTCCCCTTGAGTGTGTAAATACTCAACAAAACATCGCATTAGATCTTCAGCAGATAAGGTAGAACATTTGTTGAAATCGGCGGCATAGCGAGCGAATGCGAGTCTCAAATTTAAAGAAAGTATGCATTGGTAGTAAAAACTCACAAATTAAACCTTGCTATGGTAAAACTCAAGGTAAGGGAAAAACTCATAAATTAAGGAGAAAAGTGAGAAGTATGCATAATGTCTAAAACAAACGCCAAACAGGATGAAAGTAATGAACTCAACATAGTATGATCATCCTAAGATGGGTGTCTCATTAAAACCTCGTTAGGTAGCAAAAACGCAGTGGGAAAATTGCTCCTAATCGTGGGGAAAATGACTACATTAAGATCAAGTGAGTATGCTACATGATACTTCCCCTAAGTTAGACATAACTTCCAAATAAGAGAACTACAAGTGATTCAACTTAGATAATTTACACATACCGATTCCTTGGATGAGCTTCTGAAAAGTAGACTTAGGCAATGACTTGGTGAAGAGATCGGCTAGGTTGTCTTGGGAACAGATTTGCTTGACTTCAATGTTCTGATGTTGTTGTTGCTGATGAGAATAAAAGAACTTCGACACTTTGTGCTTGGTGTTATCTCCCTTGATGTATCCCTCATTTAATTGCTCGATACATGTTGCATTGTCTTCAAAGATTGTTGTAGGAAGGTCAATGACGGAAGTAAGACCACTAGTGTTTCAAATATGTTCCATGACTGCTCTCAACCAAAAACACTCACATGATATTTCATGCAGGGTGAGAATCTTAGCATGGTTCGAAGAAGTTGCAACTGGTAAACCTCCAAGATATAGCGGTGTCTCTAACAGTAAAGACATAACCCTTTTGAGAACGTGCCCTATGTGGGTCAGATAGATATCCAGCATTTGCATGACCAACAAGGTGAGAATCAACCCGAGAACTGAGGAGGGCGACAACTCTCAAGGATTTGTGGATATAGAACAAGCCCAAATCCGTCGTACCCTTGAGGTAACGGAAAATGTCTTTAACATCATTCTAGTGTCTGTGTGTGGGCGCATTGCTATATCTAGCCAAAAGATTAACAACGAAGGAGATGTCGAGTTTAATGCATTGAGCCAAGTACAATAAAGCCCCAATTGCACTTAGGTATGGAACTTCGGGTTCCAAAATCTCATCCTCATCCTCTTTTGGATGGAAGGGATCTCGTTTAGCATCTAGAGTCTGACCATAGGTGTACTCAAAGGCTTCGCTGTATTTTCATTAAAATGTCGCAACACCTTCTGGGTGTTGTTCCATTGATGTACTAGGATTCCATCCGAACAATGCTCGATTTCTAGGCCTAGGCAATATCGAGTTTTCCTAAGATCTTCATCTTAAATTCTGATTTCAGGGGAACGACAATTTTCTCAAGCTCTGCAGGAGTTCCGATGAGGTTCATGTCGTCGACATAAACTGCAACGATCACAAATCCAAAATGTGACTTCTTTATGAACACACATGAGCATAATTCGTTGTTCACATAACCCTGATTTGTCAAATATTCACTCAGACGGTTATACCACATCTGCCCAGATTGTTTCAATCCGTAGAGTGATATTCTCAATCTAATCAAGATAGTATTCTGTGGTCTAGAACTATTTGAACTAGTCAATGAAGTCCTTTTGAAACTTTCATGTATATTTCCATATCTAGATCCCCATAGAGATATACAGTTACCACGTCCAAGCTGCATATTTAGTTTTTCAGAAACTACCAATCTGATTAGGTAGCGGAACGTTATAATGTCCATTAAAGAAGAATACATCTCCTTGTAATCAATCCTAGGGCGCTGAGAGAAGCCTTGCGCTACGAGGCATGCTTTGTATCACACTATTTTATTCTTTTCATTACGTTTCATCACAAAAACCCACTTATAACCCACGAGTTTCACATGTGGTGGAGTAGAAGCTATAGGTCCAAACATCTTACGTTTCGCAAGAGAATCGAGTTTGACCTAGATTGTTTTTTTCCAGTTTGACCAATTCGTTCTACGTTGGTGATCATGACTGCGAATGAAGTGTGTAGCAATTACCTTGGACTGCACTTGATTCCGAACATAATGACAATCAACTTCAATGTGTTTAGTTCGCTCATGAAAGACAGGATTTGATGCGATGTGCATTGCTGCTTGATTGTCACAGTGAAGGGACATAGGTTGCGGGTGAGGAAACCCTAGATCCGAGAGTAGAGTTTTGAGCCAAGTGAGTTGACATGCCGTTGATGCCATAGCACGATATTTTGCCTCTGCACTTGAGCGTGCAACCACACTTTGTTTCTTGCTCTTCCAGGTGACAAGATTACCCTCTACGAATGTGCAAAAACCAGTGATAGACTTGCGATCGAGAGAGTTCCCTGCCCAATCTGCATCTGTATATCCCGAGATCTGAGTATGACCATTATTGCGCATGAGGATCCCTCTACCAATGGAACCCTTCAGATAGCGAAGCACACGATGAACAATTTTCATGTGATCTGTGTTTGGAGCATGCATGAACTGACTAACAAGGCTCACAGCATATGATATATCAGGACGAGTGATAGTTAGGTAAATAAGCTTGCCAACCAATCTCTGATAATACTCTATATTAGGAATGAGATCACCATGAGACTGCAGCTTCAAGTTGCTATTCAAAGGTGTCCGAGCAGGTTTACAATCTGTCATGTTTGCCTCATGGAGAAGATCAATGATGTACTTGCGCTGATTTAGAAAACAGCCCTTGTGGGAATGTGCCACCTCGATTCCTAAGAAATATTTAAGAGTGCCGAGATCTTTGATAGCAAATTTGTGACTGAGATATTGTTTAAGAGCACTAATCTCAGAAACATTATCACCTGTAACAATTAGGTCATCGACATAAATAAGCACCACAAGTTTACCAGATTTTCCCGATCGCATAAATAGGGAGGAATCAGCATTGTTCCGAGAGAAACCAACTCCCTCTAGGACATGACTGAGCTTGGCATACCATGCTCGGGGACTTTGCTTGAGGCCATAAATGGCTTTATGAAGTCTGCACACCAGGTTTGGATTGTTTGATTGAGGATGACCCAGAGGGATTTTCATTAAAACTTCTTCTTCTAGTTCCCCATGTAAAAAGGCATTTTTAACATCCATTTGAAAGAGAGGCCATGTATTATTAATGGCAATAGATAACAGCACCTTCACTGTATTCATCTTTGCCACAGATGCAAATGTCTCTTTGTAATCTACTCCATAAGTCTGAGTAAATCCAAGAGCAACCAATCGAGCCTTGTGTCTTTCAATCGTGCCATCTGAATGGAACTTGATCTTGTACACCCAACGACTTCCTACAGCCTTCTTTCCTTTAGGAAGCTTCATGATGGTCCAGGTGTTGTTTTTGTGAAGAGCTTGAAGCTCTTCTGCCATAGCAGCTCTCCATTCGCTATGTAATTTAGCTTCTTGAAAGCTTTGAGGTTCATAGGTCTCAGTAACTGTATTGAGGAATGCAGCAAATGAAGGTGACACTTTGCTGTAATTAATAACAGAAGTTAAGGGATGCCTGACATTGTAAGTTACATAATCATTTAACTTGGATGAGAGTCTCCTCTCACGGGAAGGATTTCGACGAACTGTGGGAGGTTGAACCACTGGTAGTTGAGCAGTCTCTTGGTTGGAGGGACTTCTTGAGGGTTCAGATAAGATAAGTTCATCAGGTGCCACTGGTGGTGTGTTCTGCAAGTTGTGAGACTGAGAATGGACCTCATTCAGTGTTTGGTCCCTTATGACACCCGTTGCGTCTTCTTTACATGGATATGGTATTGGAAACAAGTCAAGCATGTTCTCCCCCTCTTGAGAGTAGTCCAGAGGTTGAGTGAAGTAAGGCATTAGTTCCTCAAATCTTACATCTCTTGAAACAACCATTTTCCTAGTTGCGGGATTGTAACATTTGTAACCCTTTTGAGTGGAAGAGTAGCCCAAGAAAACACATTTGGTAGCCCGTGGTTCTAGCTTGTCACGTTTTTGTGCTTGAATGTGAACAAAGCATGTACATCCGAACACTCGTAAGCGTGACAAATCGATTTGTCTGCCTTTTAGGATCTCATAGGGTGATTTAAAATTCAAAACCTTACTGGGCAATCTATTGATAAGATATGCAGCAGTAAGAACACGTTGAGACCAGAACTTTTTCGGCACATTCGAGTGAAACATCAGGGCCCTAGTTTTTTCAAGTAGGTCTCTATTCTTCCTTTCTGCTACCCTGTTTTGTTGGGGTGTTCCAACACAACTGGTTTGATGTAGTATGCCATGTGTGCTTAGATAATGAGACATATTATGGGACATATATTCGGAGCCATTATCTGATCGTAAGACATGAATATTTGAAGCAAATTGAGTGTTTACAAGTCTATGAAAATCTTGAAAAACTTCCAACACTTCATTTTTAAATTTCAAAAGATATAACCAAGTTATCCTTGTGAAATCATCCACAAAGGTTACAAAGTATTTGTATCCGTCAAAGGACTCTAGAACTGGTCCCCAAACATCGGAATGCACGATTTCAAAAGGATTACTAGCCCTAGATAGAGAGGAGGTGAAAGGTAATCTAGTGAATTTAGAAAAATGACACACATCACAAGAACTTGTAACCTTGCACAGGTTTGGAAACAAAAAGGATAGGACTTTATCAGAAGGATGTGCAAGGCGTCGGTGCCAAAGTTGTTGTTCCTGAATCAGGCTTGAGGTGACTTGAAAAGCCTTGGGAGTTTGAGCATGTTGGAAAAGATAGTAAAGGCCGTTTAGAAAAAAACCTTCACCAATCATCTTCTTGGTGGTGATATCCTGAAAAATCACAGTTTTTGGAGAGAAGATGGCAGTACAGTTTAGTGAGTTTGTGATTTTTCCAACAGATAAAAGCTGAAAAGGGAATGAAGGAACATATAGGGCCTCAGACTCGACATTACTAGAGATCAAATGTATTTTTCCTTTCCCTACAACCATGGCACTCTTGCCATTAGCAACTGACACTTGGGATGGACGTGAAAGTTTTTTAAAATCATACAGATTTGTGGACTTGTTGGTCATATGATCAGTGGCTCCTGAATCTATAATCCAATAATCATGCATATTACCTATTTTAAGAGCAGTTGAGAAGGATCGTAAGATAACTGGTATATCTTGTTGTGTCACGCCTTCTTTCCTAGCCAAAAAACCAGCAAACTGCCCAAGTAGAGCAGCTGGTTTGTTGTCAACATGACTGGTTGATCCTTCATTCTCCCCATCACCTTGTTTCTTGTGAAGGAAGGCAGCAAATTCATTTATCAGCATGGCCGGATTAGAGGTGAACATCTGTGCTTCCTCGGAATGAGAGGTCATGGTATGATTTGCCTTGGGTGATGAGTTGTGTGCTCCTCTAATGAAGCTCTTGTTGCTGTCCCTCGAATGCTTGGGCCTTAGTTCAGGATGGAGAATCCAGCAATGATCTCGTGTATGTCCACCATTATCACAATAGCTACACTTCACAGTGGGTTTCTTTCCTTTATATCTCCTCTCTTCACTAGCCTTGTGATTTGAGAAATATACCCTAGATTCTGGTATATTTGACTTTAATTCCACAGTCATGATTTTTCTGCGAGTTTCTTCCCTTTGGATAGTGGCATACACACTTGAGAAGGAAGGAAGTTCAGGATTCATGAGAACATGACTCCTGAGATCTTCGTATTCAGAGCTCAAACTTGCTAGAAGCTGAAAGATTTTATCTTCCTCAGCTCTCTTAATCAACACGGCAGTGTCAATAGTGTGTGGCCGATAAACATTCAACTCATTCCACATGGTGGTCAACTTGCCAAGATGATGCACAAACGAGTTCCCTTCCTGTTGTAGACTAGCAATATCCTTCTTTAGCTGGAACACTCGAGCTGCGTTATTCTGATTTCCATACATCTCTTTGAGATTTTTCCAAAGAACGTATGAAGATTCCGCATAACTGAAGATTTCTGCAATCTTTCGATCCATAGAGTTGTACAGCCATGACATGACCAGCTGGTCCTTGCACAGCCAATCATTGTAATCGAATGAGGACACATCAGGTGCTGGAATCACGCCATTAACATAACCAAGCTTCGATCGTCCTCCTAACGCAAGGGAGACAGCTCTCTCCCACGGGAGATAGTTGAACTCATTTAGTAGGACCGAACTGAGACGTTGATTTGGATTGATATCAACGTCTAGATGAGATGAAGAAGACGCAGCATGCGAGTTTACTTCTTCGCCATGCACGGAGCTCTCTTCAGCCATGATGAAGAAGAAAGGGAATCAGGAAGACGGTACTCAGAAGCAGGTCGATAGAGATCACTGCTCTGATACCATATTGAATTTTGAATGTCTATATTTTGTATTATGTGAAACAAAGTACAAGGAAAGCTCATATAAATTAGCGGAAGAAAGGAAAAGAAACAGAAGCCGAAAACAAGGAAAAGCAAAGCAGAAAACAAAGAAAAGTAAAGCAGAAAACATGGAAAAGCAAACCAGAAAACATGGAAAAGCTAGCAGAAAACACTTCCTTGATTTATGGCACTGCAATGTACCATACATACACCCATGCTTGCCGACTAGGATTTAGACTAACCCTAGAACTTCTTCCAATAGTTATGCTCAGGTATTTGCTTATCATGAAGAACTATATAAGGATACAAATCTGGAGAAGGTGTCGAGATGAATGGAAGCTCTTAGAGAAGCAGCAAACGTGCATGAGTGGGTGGCTTTTGGATAACAGGTATGTATATTTCTAACCACTTGCATCATTACATTTGAGTATTGCATTCTTTTATCCAATTTTTCTTCAGTAGAGTAGTCTGGGAAATAGATGGTGAATATTGACTCTAAGAAACCGAGCGATTGGATCTAAAAATTCGAACAGTGAAAATTGTTTTGAAAAGTGAGGTCTTTTGATTTAGCCCAACCAAACATGCTCATTCTAGTGAAACCCTCTTATCTACAATAACACTCTCGAGTAACCTGAAGAAGAAAAAAACCACGGTAAGTTAGTAGTACCTGTATCGACGGTCTATTAACCTCTACGTTTGATTCTTCTAATGCATGCTTGGTTTAGGTAAGAACTATGAAGATTGGTTTTTCCAATTCACCTTTTATCCAGTTAAACGGAACCAACTTGGTTTTATGTCGGAGTAAAATTTATATGCTATTTGCTAATGGACCCCTCGCATGGGAAGAAATATCACAACTTCCACCAAAATAATAATCATTATTTATTCAATATAATTCAGTGAATTCATGGAAAAGTGAGCACGAGAAGACGAGAAAGCCACCGGTAATGCATGAAGATGCAGAGGTTGTCAGAGATCAAACAGGAAGAGTCTCAATCTCTTTCCTGAGTTAATCTCGACCCTTTTTCACTTTGTCTGTTTTTTGTTAACGGATTCTCGATAAAACCAAAGTCATTAAAGCTGCCAATAAATAACGAATACATCTATAAGAGGCGAAATTTTTCATTGCGATCGGAATACGAATGGTGCATCACGTGTTTTTATATAAGTGGTGAAAAATTTATTTTTTAAGTTATTAACTTTTTGACACACATATCCCACTATTTATATAGTGACATATGATGTACTATCTCGTATTCCGATCACATTGAAAAATTTCTTCTATAAGAGAATTCTCTTTGTCAGAGAAATTTTTTTAGATTTCGGGAGCACTAGTTGAGCTGGTATTCCCCACAAATAAAAACTTGACACATGTTCACCACTAATTAACATCTCACATATGATTAAAAACTCTGCGTAGTTAAGATGCAATTCGGTTTTGAGAAAATATAATTAATGGATTTATGATGAACTTCCTTTCTTATACCTAACATTCATTATTTAATTTCTCAAAAAAGAATTTATTTGATTAAAGAAGAAAAAAAAAAACCCCCCAAATTTCTCCCCCACAAGCCACCACATCCGCCACCGTACCCCTCGCCCCAACCCAATGATGCAATATATTCTAACACACATATTAAACCCTATAATTGTAGTATATGTAAGTAGGGATCGTTCTAGGCCGGGGATTAAAAGGGATGCTAATCTACATAATTTAAACTCTAAAACACTAAACTAGACTCTAAAACAGAAAACTAGACTCTAATAACTCAAAACTGACTAGAATGACTCAAAACACACAAACTAAGTTAAATTAGCTCAAAACATGTACTAGAAAGTGATTTGAACGAAAATTGAACTAAAAAGACTCAAAATACTAAATTAGACAGATTTGAGCACGTTTCTAACTAATCTAACACACTTAATTAAAGGGGAGGGATTGATTTGGATGAAATTAATTAAACTAAACAGATTGCATAAATTAAACAGGTTAGACACGAAATTGGGTGTTTTAAGGGTGAAAGACAAGCTAGAGGGTCCTTCTCCACACATGAACCATATGCAACACAAATCAATTTCCAATTATTATTCCTTTAAACCATGAATGACAATGCCCCAAATTAATCGTGAGAAGCATAAATTAACTTTCAGATTTTCCTAAATTCATTGAATTGGATGGAATACGTATCAGCAACCAAATTATTCTTATCAAGTTCCCTACATGAACAACATAATAGAGATACAATCAAAGATTATTAAGATTTGTGAAAATCATAAGCATTGACAAGGCATTCGTAACTATGAACTGTATGATACTCCTGCCATAGATTTACTTAACACGATTGTGACTAACAACCTCCACTACTTGTAAATATAAGTTCATAACTATTAGGTGAAATTGCCTTATATTTTAGCATCAAATTCATGCATGCAACCTAAGTGTGCACCCTTAATCAACATACAAAAATAAGTTATCAATCAAACAAATAAGTAAATCGCATTCATGTTTTATGAAACAATAATTGGATGTAATCAATTCATATAAAACATATGTCCATGGCTTCGAATTCACCTCTAGCTAAAAAGAAATTAGTTCAACATGTTCATCATAATTGAAAAGCAATCTAAAATAAACATCGAAACTAAAGGATAGAAAGCACCCTAGACACTCCAACAATCCCAAAGGCTTTGGATTGTAGGTCATGTCTCAAAATCCCTTCTTCTCATTCCTTCCTTGCTGCGGCACAAATTGAATTTTCTGATTTTCTCTCTTGTGTGTGGTCTCCCCTTTTCTACGGTAGATTTATGTATTTATATGCTAGGGTTTCACGGCACAAAGCCTTGGAGGACAAGGATAGACACGACAGAGTTGTAGGGGGAAAAAGTTAGGGTTAAGTGCATGGAAGAAACCAAAGAGAATAAGGAGAGGGTGCGGCATCAATGTAGGAAAAGGATAGAGCTTCTAGAACCTGATATTTAGGTGATTCAATATGAAATTAAGTCCTCTTTGCAGTTGGAATTAAGGTGGAATAAGATTAGGCTAGGATAAGATAAGATAAGATAAGGTTGGATAAGGTTTGGATAAGATAAGGTAATTTGGATAATGTTTCCTTCTTCTTAGCTGATTCCTTATCTTTCAAGTCTTTGATTTAATTCTTCCAGATGTTTAGCATATTCTTAGCCTCTCTTGAACTTCAAATTCGTCCATCCATCTTGCTCCATATGCAAGTTATCCATTCTAGCCCAAAATTGCTCTAAAATGCACCAAAATGCACTTTCTTGCCTCTTTTGCCCTTTAAACCTACAAACACACGAAAATAGCTTAAATCACTATAATAAATAGAAACTAACTTACTAAATGAAAAGAAACAAGCTAACTAAGTCGCATAAATATGCTCCTATCACCCAACCCTCGCTTCCTTCTTCCTCACCACTCTCTCTCTCTCTCTCTCTCTCTCTCTCTCTCACCTTCTCCCAGTACCCAAAAAAATTTATCTTATCATCCAATGAGATGAAAAAACAAACATAGCCGTATTTATTTATTTTAAATACTATTATTGATATTCCTTGTCATCCAAAGAGGATGAAACTACAAACATACCATTATTTATTTTATTTTAATTAAATGAAAATAAATTTCTTAAGAGAATCTTTCTTGTCATCCACAACCATAACCACTACTTTTTTCTAGGGGTGGTCCAGATTGGGATCCCGATCCAAAAATGATAATCTAAATCCTGAATCAATCATTTTCAGGATAGGATTCTGAAAACTAAATCCGAACTGAAATTTCGGTATTCTCAAATTTTGGGATTCGATACGGTTTGGGTATAATTTCCAATATATGTTTGGATCCAAATTTACACCATCGGCTAGTGCGATCAGGGTTGTTGAGTAAGCATAGCTTCACACCGTCAGATGAAAAAGTGAAGATAATTTTGATAATGAATTATCTTAATATTTTCTTATACAAAATAAATGGGATGGAAACAAGCAGAATGGTTCAAACTGATTTGTGATGTTTGGCGTGTGGACGTGTGGTTTGAATCAGTTTGGCCTAGTTGCCAGATATGCATGTATGCGATAAAGATGAAATTGAAATGGTGATGTGGTTAGAATGGCTTTTGGGATTAGTCAAAGACTAACAAACTTGCTATACACGTGGATTGTCACTAGCAATGGATGATTAGGTGGTGGCCTTTAATTTTGCATGCGGCAGATAAAGATGAGTTCTATTAGGATTCTACGTGTGGAGGTGATGATAATGATTATCCATGGTTCCATGCAATTTAGGATTCTATCATGATGCATGTGATGATTTCCAATTGGCCGACGAGTGATGAAGGGACAATTATCCTAATGCAATTGCGCGCATAGGATAATAAACAAGATTAAGTGACGATCATTCTACCTAGAGTAATATTCCAAGAATCGTGCGCAGTGGCTACAACTTGAGGGTGAGGCAGTTCATTCCTATAAATACAAAGCTGCGAACAACATTCAAGGCCCCTTTCAAATGAACACACAAATTGCCATGCGCAAAGCTTCTCAACAACTTTGAGATTTTTCCCTTCCTTTTTTTCCCGCCATCATATCTTCAGTTTAGATAAACAACACTGTGAAGGCAACCGACAACATCTTCAATTTGGATAAATAGCACTGAAGCCGTAGAATCAAACGACTGAGGATCACCTTCAGTTTGGATAAATAGCACTGCTTCAAGACTGACTGATTATTATCCAAGTCTTGGTTGACAAGGATATATGAGTCCTTGTTGGAAGAGGTCATCTTATCAGCCTTCTCGATGAAGTAAGGTGTCATCAGGTTACTACATTTGGCACACTGAAAACGAATTTGATATTGAACTTCGCAGAACTAACAGCCTTGTCTTCAGGCTCTAAAACCCGAAGGCCGAGACGTGTTCCTTCCTCGGTCGCAGTGGCGAGATCAAGAAGTCAGCAGTGCGCCTAACGCCACATCAACATATTTTACACCCCGGCCAAACTCGGTCGACGAGTTGGTACGCCCCACACACAAGCGAATGATGTAGTTAGCTTATTAGTTACTCAGCCTGCGTGCCACATAGGCTAGGTGCCAATGAGTTGGCACGCCCAACACATAATTGATTGGCGTAGCTAGCTTATTAGTTACTCGGCTTGCGTACCACATAGGCTAGGTAGTTTTTAGGGTCAACAATATGAAACGACAATATCACGCTTAGAAATTCAACATTTAATTGCAGAAATTGTAACTACGGAATTCAATATCCTAAATAGAAAATTAATCCCCAATCCCCAATTTGTAAATCTTTCATTCAAACCCTAATTCAAAAGCCCTAAATTATAAACCCCTAACTCGTTTTTATAAATATGAAATTGCTTGCCCAGATGTCTTGAATATCGAATATAGAGCAGAGAGGATTATGGTTGACGATGAGTTGATAAGAGGAATGGGTCGTTGGGAGTTATGCTTGAGAAGAGCAAAGAAACGGAGAGGGTCGAGAGGGAGAAAGTCAAAGATGCATGCCTCTATAGTTGTTACGACACTGGAAAGGTTCAAGAGGGAGAAATGTAGTGGTGGGTGGTGACGGCGATGACTTAGAGATGATATAGAAGACGATGGGTTGAGACTCGAGACTAAGGATTACAATTCAAACCGTTAAACCTGATTACCATAGATAACCGTCCGAATGGAGCGGATTTGGGTATGAAAATTTGGGTATATTATGAGAAAAAACTGTGAACTTTATTTGGTTATGGTATTAGATATGGTTATAGGGGTCACCAATCCATATCCGTCTCTAAATCCGAATTCAAATCGAATAATATATATAATATATATAGTATAACTTTTATATTATATAGTAGTATTATATATATATTTATTTATTTATATTGAGTGAACTTATCTCATTATTACCATATTCATTATTCACCGCATTTAAGATATTTAATATATAATATAATAGTATTCACCAAATCCTATGCTATGTTCATTATGCATCAAATGCTACGCTATATTCATTAAGCACAAAATGTTATGCTTATAGGACACTAGTAGAAAAAACAACTTGCACGACAAAACAAATTTCGTCGCACAAGAGTACCTTGCATGACAAACACAAAATGTCGTCGCACAAAACAGAGAGGAAAGAAAAAAAAATTGCGCAATGAAAAACTTCATTGCGCAAGACAACTTTACATGACGAATAAGCCTTGTAGTCGCACAAAGTCAATAAGAAAAATACGTGGGAGATTACTTTGGCGCGAGTTGGCGCGAGAACCTTACGTGACAAAGATTTCGTTGCGAAAGTTCTTGCCAACTTTAGCTCCGACCATTCACTGCAGGTGAATCAAGAATCAATATTGCATTTAGTACAAATGTTTGAGCGACAAAGAATTCATCGCGTAAAGGCCTCATCTTTCCTATAAATATGTACTGCTACTATCCTTATTCTTCATAATTCTATTCTCCTTATTCATCACAATTTTGTTCGTGGTGAGATGGAGGATAAAAACAGGGATCAGAGTGTGACC